CCAATTGCTCATTGCTTCTTGGACTGGAGGGCAGCTGCTGACGGGCATAAGGGATCTTTCTGAGAGGATGGAAATGTGATAAAACCGGCATGTGGTGATGTTTGCATAACTCTGTAAATTTACTATGAATCATTGGATCATACAATTAAAACATGTGAATTTGATGATAAGTAATTACTTATCTGATTTTAATAAATCAGATTTTTTTTAAAAAACTATTGGCAGAGATATGGCAAAGCCATGACTGATACCTGAAAGCTGAGCAAGGCCACAAATAGTAGGTATATGTCTTTTCATATTTTGTCCAGAATTGATCATTGTTACCTGTAAGAGGGTTAGTCTGGGAAAATGTGCTTGTCTATTATCAGAAATGAAACTTCCAGGTACGAGATGTTCATCCTCTTACTCAGGAATGGTAAACAATTTTAACTGGCTTGCCAATTCCAGTCAATAAGAGCCAAGCTGTATTTATTTGCTGTGGATGCTATCATAAATACCATAGGCTTAAACAGCAGACATTTATTCTTTCACAGTTTTGGAGGCTGGAAGCTCAAGATCAAGGTGTTGACAGGGCTGGCTCCTTCTGAGATCTCTCTCCTTGGCTTGTAGGTGGCGTCTTCTCCTTGTGTCCTCACATGGTCTTACCTCTGTTCTAATCTGTATCTCGACTTCCTCTTCTTATAAGGACACCAACCATATTGGATTAGGGCCCACCTTAATGACCTCATTTTACCTAAATTACCTCTTAAAGACCCTATCTCCCAAAACAGTCACATTCTAAAGTATTGGAGGTTAGAACTTCAACATATGAATTGGGGAGGGACACAATTCAACCCTTACTGCAGGAAACTTAAAAAAGAATTGGAGAATTAAGATAAAACAGAAAACATATATACAGTCTCAAAATTAGGAAAAAAAAAATTTTAATTACTTTTAAAGAAAGTGAACTAATGAAAAAGTCTTTTGGAGCAATGCCTTGTGCAAATGAGCTGAGGTCTGCCATAACCTCATGTCCAGTCTTGATTTTGTTCCTTAAATGGTAAAGCAGGAAGCACCTTCAGTTGAAGAGTTTCTGCTAGATGGTTTCCCATGAGTGGCTTTTTCTTTGACCATTTTTATCATTTTGTTAATGGTCTCATGTCCTCAGTTGAACAGCTCCTTGCGGGCTGCTATGGTTTGAATGTCCTCTTCAAAACCCATGTTAAAACTTAATCTCCAGTGTGGCAGTATTGACAGTGGGGGCCTTTGGGAAATGACTGGCTCATCAGAGCTCTGCCCTCAGGAATGGATTAATGGGTTACTGGATTAATGGGTCATCATGGGAGTGGAGCTGGTTGAGCTGGAGTTGAGCTGGCATGGGAGCGCACTCAGCCCTCTCACCATGTGATGCCCTGCACCACCTTGGGACTCCACAGAGAGTTCTCACCAGCAGAGAGAGCCTTACTAAATGCTCCTCCTCAATCTGGGGCTTTCCAGCCTCCAGAACTGGAGGAATAAATTCATTTCTTTATAAATGATCTGGTCTTGGGTATTCTGTTTTAAGCAACAGAGATGGACTAAGACAAAAAAAAATCCCAACTTGTACCTTGTGTTTTCCTGTCATGGCAGCATGCCTTTCTCGGGACAGTTTGTCAGTGATTATGAATGGTGTCTGTCTTTTATGTGCTGCCACAATGAAGTCATCGGAACGTCCGTGATGTTGTCGTGGTGTCTTTGTCTTCCAGAGGCTTTCTGAATGAAGCTTTCCAGAAAGGAGGCCCAGATGGTTGCAGTGCCCGTCTATTGAGAGGAGAGATCACATTTTCCCAGGTGAGGGGACACCACAGAGACCCCCTTGGGTGAGCATTCTCTACCTACATGCCCGTTCTTCACCCTTTCATCCCTCATGGCACGTAACTCACTCAAGTGACCTTGGAAGGACTGGGGATATATGAACTGACATTCAAGGCTGTTTTGTAGTCTCTTTGGGCCAACCAGAGGAAAGTTTCCAAGCCCTCAAAGAGCTGTGCAGGGAGTAACTTCAGCCAGAGTAACTGTGTTAGGACAGGGCCACTGCGTCTGTTAATTCAGTCACTGTGTAATGATTAGACTTCGGAGTCAGAGATCAGGGTTTGAATCAGAGCTCCCACTTACAGACTGTGTGGCCACAGAAAGTGACACAATCTCTGAAAGTCCCATTTTGCCATCTGAGGACGGGGTGACAATACTACACATTTTGTTGGTTGTGAAGCTTGGAAAGTGCTTAGCAAATGCCTGGCACACAGTAAGCAGTCAGTAATAAGTAGTTATTATTTTTACCATGACCTCAATTATTTTTTTTACAAAGTAACCAGGGTCTAAAGCCACTTGAATTTTCAAGGAGTGCCTCTCTAAGAAGAAAGGCTGTTGAGAATCTACTCTATAAGCACACAGATAAAACATTCTATGTATTTTTTAAATGTATGAATTATAGCCACCCGTCACTCTGTCAGGGAACTCTGAGAGGATGGAAATGTGATAAAACCGGCATGTGGTGATGTTTGCATAACTCTGTAAATTTACTATGAATCATTGGATCATACAATTAAAACATGTGAATTTGATGATAAGTAATTATTTATCTGATTTTAATAAATCAGATTTTTTAAAAAAACTATTGGCAGAGATATGGCAAAGCCATGACTGATACCTGAAAGCTGAGCAAGGCCACAAATAGTAGGTATATGTCTTTTCATATTTTGTCCAGAATTGATCATTGTTATCTGTAAGAGGGTTCCTGCCATGGACCCACCATGACAGAAAGCAAAAGCCTAGCTTTTCTGTGAAGACAGGTGTGGTATAAACGCAGGGAGCACTGCTGTCAGTTTAAGATTCACACACACACATTGTGGCAACCAATGAATCCATGGACCCACCATGACAGAAAGCAAAAGCCTAGCTTTTCTGTGAAGACAGGTGTGGTATTAACGCAGGGAGCACTGCTGTCAGTTTAAGATTCACACACACACATTGTGGCAACCAATGAATAAAAACTGTGGTGATGCTACTGGGAACAAATGTCACTGGAGCTTTATTCAGTTAAAAAGCTTCAGTGACATTGTTGGAGGGTAAGGAGAGAGTGGCCTGCTATATATTTCAATGAACATAAGGAACTATAAAATGTATTTCCAGTTATCCCTACGAAATCCTGCATCCCATTCAGACTCCTTTAGTGGCTTCTGATAGTCTGTGTGTAGCTTCCAGGAAACTTCCAGGTTAGAGGACAAAATCTGAAAAAACAAATTATACCATTGTAAAGGTTTACTTAGGCTTGGTTTGTCTTTGAGAGAGTCGGGTCTTGGGAACAAATGTCATCTTTAAATTTTCCATTTATGTGTACTGCATGGACAGAAAAATACACACAGTATACAGCCTTATGAATTTCCACAAACTGAGTGATAAGAAATGAAGCATCACCAGCACTGTAGGTCCTTCCCGTGTGCCCCTCTGGACACTGCTCCTCCCAGAGTGACTGACTCCCACCCTGACTTCTCCCCGAATAGGTCACTTTTGCCCATTTGTACTCTACATACTTGGAATCACACAGATGAACTCCTTCGCTGTGTCTAGCATCTATTACTCAGCACTCTATGTGGAGATTTATAGGTGTCTTGCATTCAGTTGCAGGTAGTTTTATTCTCATTGCTGCGTAGTATTCATTGTGCAAATAGATCCCAATCTATGTATCCATTCTGCTATCAACGGGTGTTCAGATAGTTTTCAGATTGGGACTATTACAAATAGTTCTACTATGATAGTGTGTGTAACACAATCCATTCTGCTATTAGTGAGTTTATGGGTTTGCTCGGGCTGTGTCTCAGCTCCAGATGCTATAACAAATATAAAGTAGGCTGGGTGACTTCAACAACAAACATGTATCTCTCACAGTTCTGGAGGTTGGGAAGTCCAAGACCAAGGCACCAGTTGGCTTGGTGCCTGGTGCGGGTCCCCTTCCTGGTTTCCAAATGGCCATCTGCTTGCTGTGGTCTCACATGGTGGAAAAGCAGGGGGAGGGAAAAAGCTCGCTCTCTCATGTCTTTTTATTAAGGGCACTAATCCCTTTCATGAGGGTTTCACCTGCGTGACCTAATTACCTCCTAAAGGCCCCATCTCCTAATACCATTGCCATGGGGTTAGGATTTCAACATATGAATGGGTGTGGCACAAGCATATCGTCTATAGCAGGCTGCCATAACAAAATACCACAGACTGAGTGGCCTAACAACAGACATTTCTCATGGTTCTGGAAGTCCCAGGTCAAGGTGTGGCAGAGCGTGTGTTTCCTGAGGCCTCTTTCCTTGGCTTGCAGATGCTGCCTCCTCCCATGAGTCCTCACATGGTCATCCCTCTGTGCTTGTATGTATCCTAGTCTCCTCTTCTTATGAGGACACCAGTCATGTTGGATTAAGGCCCACCTATATGACCTCATTTTACCTTAATTACTTCTACAAAAACTCTGTCTCCAAATACAGTCTCATTTTTTGGTAGTGAGGGTTGGGACTCCAACATACGAATTTTAAGGGGACACAATTCAGCTCATAACAGTGGGCATTTGTGTAGTTTCTCATTTAAGGCGTGCTTGGTCTGAATGTTTGTGGCCCTTCCACAAATTTATACATCGAAATCCATACCCCCAAGGTGATGGTATTAGGAGGTATGGCCTGTAAGAGATGATTAGGTCATAAGGGTAGAGCCCTCATGAGTGGGATTAGTGCCTTATGAAAGAGATCCCAGGGAGCTAGCTAGTCCCTGCCACCATGTAAAGACACAGCAAGCAAGTGCCATCTACAAACCAGGAAGTGGGCCCTCACTGGACACTGAATCTGCCAGTGCCTTGACCTTGGACTTCCAGCCTCCAGGACTGTGAGAAAGACATTTCTGTTGTTTACAGGCCACGCAGCCTCTCACATTTTGTTATAGCTGCCCAAACAGACTAGGATAGGGTTCTTAGGAGCAGTACTGCTATGGTAGTGTATAAATATACCATAATCTATCCATTCTGTTGCCAGTGGGCATTTGTGTGGTTTGTAGTTTGGGACTCTTAGGAATAGTGCAACTATGAACATTTCTGTTCCTGGCTTTTGAGAAACATATGTTGACATTTCCAGTGTGTATGTGTCCAAGAGTGGAATTAGTTGGTCTCAGGGAATGTACATGTTCAGATTTAGTAGTTACTGCCAAGCTTTTTAGAATGGTCCTACTAACTTAGTCCCTTGTCAATTCATGTTTACAGTGGCTACCGCTCATGGAAGAAGACTGCAGGAAACGCTCCGAGGCCTCTGGAATCTGCCTCCCCAAGAATTTCTCAATAAATCAAATCTTAGGCAAGGCAGTTTCAGCAAGAACAATCAACCACCCCATGCTCCAGGCAGCTCTCGCTCTTAGAAAGAAGGGTAAGGGTCCACTATCTGCCATTCTCTGGCCCAACCACATCAGAACTCTCAGGGGAGTTAGGTCAGAATACAATTTAGTGTGTTGTGAGATCTCATATCTTCTGGGCCTTGATGGACTTGATAGAAGGGCATGATGGAAAGGCATGGCCCCGAAACAAGTTTTATCAAATGGCAAAAAACAACACTATAAGAATAACTGGAAAATGACATGATTTTACTAGTAAAGTAATGTATGCCAGTGACTGCCCTGTGAGCAAAATTCTCTCCTGCTGATGCTAATAGTAATGACCTGAATGACCTGACCTCTTGTCACAGTGATTCAAAAGCAAGGCCTTTTAAGCAACTATGATTTTCTCAGCCTCTGGGTGTCAGAGTCACCGAGCTATGAGCTGGCTCATGCAGGCCTTAGATCATGTCAGTAGCCTAAGACACGAAATCACACTCATCAGAAGACAGTGCCCTGCTCTTCACAGGCATCCTTGAAACCGTTCCACTCTCTTCTCAGCAGACTTGTGTGGCTGTGGCTAAGCCATCCCACATCCACAATTCCTCCCTCGTATTACGTGGGAAGCGTCTCCCCATCAACGCATCCATATCTTGCTTCCAGCATTGCCTGGTTGTCACCTTCACTGGTGAGGCAGACAAAGACAGAAATGGGAACTCAGTCCCTGGTACCCATGGCAGGTGTTTTGAAAGGTAGTCAGGCAGAGTTTGCAGTGGCGTGGACTAGAAAGAACCTTGGGGCTTCACTGGGGGCTGTGGGCGGCTTGTAACTCATCAGAGCTTAGATTTGCTCATCTGTACATAAGGGATGGGAAGAGCCGCTTTGCCCACCCCAAAGGTGGTGAGGATCAGATGAGCCACCGAATATCAGGACACTGTGATCAGATGGGCTGAGGGTGTGGGGACACTGATGAGACAGGAGGAGGGTGTCGGGACACTGTGATGAGATGGGCTGAGGGTGTGGGGACACTGATGAGACAGGAGGAGGGTGTCGGGACACTGTGATGAGTTGGGCTGAGGGTGTCAGGACACTGTAATGAGATGGGCTGAGGGTGTTGGGACACTGATGAGACGGGCTGAGGGTGTCAGGACACTGTGATGAGATGGGCTGAGGGTGTGGGGACACTGATGAGACAGGAGGAGGGTGTCGGGACACTGATGAGACGGGCTGAGGGTGTCAGGACACTGTGATGAGACGGGCTGAGGGTGTCAGGACACTGTGATGAGATGGGCTGAGGGTGTTGGGACACTGATGAGACGGGCTGAGGGTGTCAGGACACTGTGATGAGATGGGCTGAGGGTGTTGGGACACTGATGAGACGGGCTGAGGGTGTCAGGACACTGTGATGAGACGGGCTGAGGGTGTGGGGACACTGATGAGATGGGCGGAGGGTGTTGGGACATTCCTCTGCACTTGTAAGGGATGAAGGGATTCAAGCGTCTCCATCCGGGTGTCAAAAGCTTAATGTACACAGCTTTCTCCCGTGTCTGTGTCAGGAGGTTCTTGTGGGGAAAGATGAATCTTTACCACCTCATTCCCTGAAAGCTGGGCACTGATGTGAGCAGGATGCTACTTGGCCCCCTGATCAGGGCCCGCTGGGGTCACCCAGAGCACCTCAGGGCAGAGTTCCGTAGCTGGTCATTCCCTTTGTCTTCTTTTTTTTTTTCCTTTTTTTTGTCTTTTTTCGTGACTGGTAACGGGATCGCAACCCTCGGTGTCACGCCCGCACCACGCTCAACCAGTGAGCAGACCGGTCTCTATATGGGATCCGAGCCCTCGGCGGGAGCGCCGCCACACTCCCAAGCACCGCACTCTACCGAGTGCACCACCGGGCCGGTCCCCTTTGTCTTCTTGCACAGGACTTGCGACCTGCCTCCTCACCAACAACTGGCTGGATGACAGCGCCGAGAGAGGCAGCCTGGCCCAGCTGATGTGTGAGCTGAGTCCTCACTTTGACTTCCTGATCGAGTCGTGCAGGGTCGGAATGGCTAAGCCGGAGCCTCGGATCTACAAGTTTGTACTGGACACGCTGAAGGCCAGACCCAGTGAGGTACGTAGACACTTGCTTTCAGGAGAGAAGAATGTTGCAGAGATATTGCAACCAAGGGAAAGTTGAGGGAGCAGGAGGGGTACATCTGGGGCCTGGCAGGACGTTCTAGGTCCACTCCTCCCGGGCCAGGACTTCTCCTAAAGGAGTTTAACCCATTCTTCAGTCTAGAAAGTTCTACCAGAGGTGGGCATGTGGCTCCTTTATGTGGCTTTTAAAGGACCTGGGTCAAAACAACCATCATCAAATCTCTTAGATCAACTGCCTCATTTATTTATGAAAAAATTGAGACTCTGGGAGACTTTCCCAAGGTCACAGGGCTAGTCAGGGTCACCCCACCAAGGAGGGAGTGAGGATGGGCTCCAATATTGCCACGGTCTCCCACCAGGCACCTTTTGCCCCTATAGCCTGCCACTCGTCTTGTCTCCAGACTGCCTGTCCTAAAACACGGTTTTTATGGTGTCCCCGACTGTAACCTCCGAAAGGCATTTGGACCAAGGTTAAGTTCCTTCCCCCAGCATCTCCGACCCTGTCTCACTGGCCCTGCCTCCCCCACGAGCTGATCAGAGCAGACCCTGGACTCCATCCCGGGGCCCTTCCGGGCCCAGTCCCAGAACCAGGCCTTTTCTCCTCTGGGACTTGGGCTTTGCCCACCTGCGTGTGCTGAGAACTCTGCGCGTAAGTAGAGGTGGACAGAGCAGGATGGATGCACTGCTTAGAACTCGAGGCCACCCTTGTCTGAGATTATAAATAAATGCACCCACAGTTTCTTCTCTTTCAGGGCCTTTTCTTTCTTTTATTTTTCTTTCTTTTTAAATTTAAATCTTTGATCCATTCAGAATTTATTTTGGCGTAAGATGGGAAGTAAGAATCCACTTTTTTCCCTAAACAGTTAACTGGTCATACCAGCACCATTAAATGGTCTTCCTCACCCACTGGACATGACCCCTTTATTAGAAACAAAATTCTCATTTGCATTTTGGTCTAATTCTGGCCACTTGTCTATTTCCTTTCTAGTACCAAACTCTTCTGCCCTTTGTAGCTTCATCGTTTCTTTTATTGTTTGCCCTTGTTACCGTTCTTTTCCAGACCTTTTCTGTGTCTGTTCTTACATGTCAATTTTCCCACGTGAAGTTTAATGTCATCTTGATACGTCTCTATCCTCCCCTAAACTTCTTGCATTTTCAGAATTGGCTGAAACCATTAGGTGTATGTGGGGACATATTTACCTATGTGTTCATGTGTATGTAATTAAATGCTTTTAATTTTAAAAGTAAAGGGTTACAGTGAAAGAAAAGGAATTCTTAATGTCCTCATAAGGAACCCCCATGTGCGTTTTGATGGGCTTCTTTCTGGCATTCTCCCACATGCAAGAGTTTTTCTCTGCATGATGTGATGCTAGCGTCCCTGCTGTTTTGGGTTCAGGTTGTCTTCTTAGATGACATTGGGGGTTATCTGAAGCCGGCCCGTGACTTGGGAATGGTCACCATCCTGGTCCACGACACCGACACAGCCCTGAGGGAGCTGGAGAAAGTAACTGGGCTGCAGGTAACCTCACGTCTGAGTGGGCATAGGTTTCCTGCCACTCCTCTGGGGTTATGTTCCCATGAGAGAGAAAGTGTGGGGAGGACCCAGATTCCGTGGCGTTCATTACTCGGGGCATGATCCCGGGCCCCTTGAGGGGGGAGTCTGTTGCCCGTTGTGTATGAGCACAATGTCCCTGGAAAACATCTTCTTTCTTTCTCTGCAGTCAGAACAGGGAACTGGATGCTCTGAGAGCAAGAATTTACACTAGGGTTGGTGCCAAAGTCAGGGAAACCAAGACAAGAGGGGATGTGCAAAGCCACCTTGCTCTTTAGAGTAAATATTGAGAATTTGGGAGGCAGGCAATGGAGTCCAGCTGTATGCCAGAGAGGAGAGGGACAAGGCTTGGTTGATCACCAGGAAGAGGCAGGATGGGGTGGCAGAGGTGACCGCTGAGACCTCCTCCAGTGCCAGTGCCCAGGAGTTTTGTAAGCTCTGAGAGCTTCTCCCAGAAGGAGCTGCGGCTTCTCCCTCACTGTGCCTCTCGTACTTTCTTCCAGCCCCTCCATCCCGCAGCCCCTCTGCCACCCCCCTGCAGTCCCAGTGACGTGAGCCATGGGTATGTGACAGTGAAGGTAAGTAAGCCCTCTCAGCCACTCTCTGGCCAGGTCACCCAAGATGACCAGCAGAGACACGTGTTAAATTTTAAGTGTGGTTGAGCATCTGCCATGTGTAAGGAAACTATTTCCCACAAATCTCATTTCTCAAAAATCAATAGAAGACATGGACCCTGCCTCAGATTATGTAACGCAGTGTGACCGATGTGCTCAGACCCCCACAGAACAGCAGGCCGCGAGGGCCTTGGATAGCCTCAGGTGCCAGAGTGTGTGCATGGCCAGCCTGCGTTCTAGGGAGAACGTTTTTCATCCAACAGGCATTTATCATGTACTTCCTTCGTGTAGGCACAGGCCGGGTATGAAGGACACAGTGATGAACAGGACAGACCCATCCTCAAGGAGCCCATGCTGAGGATAGAGAGGGAAAAGGTCATCAGAATGCCCAGTGGTCAGGGCTAGTGCAAGGTCATGGCCACGTGCAGAGGGGCTGACTCCTGAACTGGCCGGGAGGTCTACCCCGACTGCTGATACAGAGCAGGGCTTTAGAACACCTTCCCGGGTTCACTGTGGGATCTTTCTTCATTTGTCATTGGTCCCATGTGGGTGGGAAGGCCCCTAAAGCTGTGGGCCAACTCCAGAGCAAAACCAGGCTGTCCAGCTCCTTGGAGCCAGACAGACCCTGTTTGAATCCTGACTTTGCCACCTGCTGATGAGACTGTGGGCAAGCTTCTGCTCCTTGGCTTCCACAGCTTCCTAATGACGTGATGGTAGCATGTCCCCACAAGGTTCCTATAAAGATTAAGTGAAATGCTGCATGTGGAACACCTTCGTGCTCTGGGAACAGTTGCTGATGAACAGGAGCTCTGTGGCCTGAGATGTGCTGGCCTCAGATTGCCTGGGGAGACATGCTACCCTGGAGGACAACCCACAGATAGTTTTTGAGCATTTGCTGTTTGCCAGCCACAGAGAGAAAGACCATGGTGAATGGGGTGTCTTCTGTGACCCCAGGGATTTGACGGTCTAAGGAGATGTATGTTCTCAGCCCCTGCGGCTACATCACAGGACGAGGTCCCTGCTTAATAGCCATACCAAGAAGTCCTCAGAGTGGGTTCTGTGCAGGTGGGGGCAGGAATGTAAATACTGGTGGTGTGGCCCAGCAGGTATCACCAAGTGAGCATCCAAGGCTGAGTGGGAGTTGGGTAGTAAGAGAGGTTTTTCTGGTAGGAAAGCCATGGGTCAGCATCTCCACAGTCCCTCCTGTAATTCTGGGTACTCCTGATGGAGCAAATGTTGGTTAAGGTCCCTTCAGATCTGTCTCTCTGGCAGTTGTGGGAGTGAGGGGCTTCTTGCCTGGGCCAGAGCTGGATGAACCTTTAGTCTTCACTGCCATGGAGGGGGTTAGTTCCTAGTCCTCCTGACACTTGCACATGCAGCCAGATTCAAGAGATTCTGCACTTGACCTTAAAGAAGTGTGATCAGCACTGCTGTAGCACCCCCTGCCCCCACTACAGATTTAAGAGCCAGGGCAGTGAGCCTATGGGGAGTCCTGGCAGAGCCAGGCTCTCACGGTGCTGGTGCGTGGATGGCCGCTGGGTGCTAACCCAACCTGAACTGGGCGGTAACGGACCTCCCACAGTCTGGCTTTATGGCTGTGTCTTTAACATCTACAAATAGAGGATGGGATGGGATGTGCACTGGCTGAGCTCTGCAGTTGGGCCAGATGTGAAGCCTCAGGAGCGAGCCTTTTCGTTGGGATCCCTGTTAGAACACAGGCAAATTAGGATTGTTTGATCAGACACAAGCATTATAACATTTTCCGATGTGAGGAGTCTGGAATTTAAAGTTAACTTTTGCCAAGTACCAAAGGGAAGACGATGGAACATATTCTGATAAATAGATTGTAGTCCTTGAAAGGGTTTGCGAAATGCCCCCCAATGTTTTCTTCAGCAAAATAGCTTGTTGTGATCACGAATGAAACTTCCAGCATGGGCCACCAGCTTAGAGGAGTCTGAGGTGCTCGTACAACCAAGTGGAATTGTTCCAAGTGAATTTCTATGATGGGTTTCTGATTTTCCTCATGCGCTTCTATTAGAATGTTGGAGATGTGTACTTTGGGGAATAAAATGGCACTTTGATGATACATTATTTCACTTGGTTTGCTTAGACCCTGATGGCACCAAGTGTGTTTCTCTCCAGCTCCTGTGCAGTGCAGGCCGGCGTGCTCCACGTGGTCACTCAGGAACCCAGGCTCCTTCTCTCTGCTGCCTCCACCTTCCTCGATGCCTGACCCATTCAGGTGGAGAGAGGGAAAGTGCAGGAGGTTCATGTGGGCCCTGGATGGAGCACACATTTGCCACTGGCCAGGACTCAGTGCATGGCCATGCCAGCTGTTAGAGGTGGGAAAGGGTGTCTGAAAAGTGCCACCGTGTGCCAGGAAGAAGAGGAGCATACAGATAGTGCTGAGCCACCACAGGCTCTGCCATACTCACAGAGCCCCCAAAAGAACTATAAGTGTAGCAAAACATGAAAAATTTTCATTTTTAAGAAATAAATAGCTTTTAACAAAATAATCATGTCACTCTGCACATGACCATGAATATGCTGTGCACAAAATCAGCCCCCTGTCTAAAATACTAAAAACATGCCAGAACAGCACCAGAAACTCTGACAGTCTGAGGGCATTGTAGAGGGGAAGGCAAACTTGTTTTCTTTCTGGCTTTTTCCAACATCATGATCTTCTCTTCAGCCTTCTTAGGCTGCCAGGAAATCTGCCTGTTTTTACTGAAGTTTGGCCTGTATGTCTTCTCAGCCATCTCCTCTAACACTGGGTCCTTAGCTGAGAAAGGGGTATTCTGTGAGGTGCGGTGACCGACTGCGATGGTCGTGGCAAGCAGCCTGCAGGAGGGGTGCCTAGTTCTGACCAGCCTGACACTGTGTCACTAATCACTGACCTCTCTCTTCTGCAGCCTGGAGTCCATCTGCATTTTGTGGAGCTGGGCTCTGGCCCTCCTGTGTGCCTCTGCCATGGATTCCCTGAGAGCTGGTTCTCTTGGAGGTACCAGGTAGGGGAAACTGAGGAAGGCACTCCCCAGACAGGTGAGGGCAAGGGAGGTCTAGATGGTGTGGCCCAGCCCGGAATGTCATGAAGAAGCTGAAACCTTACAGGGAACATCGTCTCCAGAGTGTTACCACCCACGCCTCAGACATTTTGGGGCAGGAGATGGCTGGAGACCTCAGGGCTGTGCTAGGCCATAAAGCACCTTTGCAGATTAGAAAAGGACAGATTCTTCAAGACACCCTACACCACTGACTGGCAAGTCTTTGTAATGAATGTAGCAATCTACAAGGACTTTGCTAGGAAATGTGCTCTCTTAGATGTGGTATTTATGCAGTGCACAGACTGTACCACCATCCGGTGAGACCGCACTCACCTATCCAGGTGAGCTTGCTCTAGCCCCATGGTGAGTATATCAGAGTGCCACGTGGCACTTTGGATTGAGCCGTTTACAGGAACAGGGAGATAGAGGGAAGCCAGGAGGGAGTGTCAGCCAAGGACTGATGAGACCATACTGGAGTGTGCCTGAATTGTTTGTTTTCTAGATCCCTGCTCTGGCCCAGGCGGGTTACCGAGTTCTGGCTGTGGACATGAAAGGCTATGGAGACTCATCCGCTCCTCCAGGTGCGTTGGCGTCTTGCACTTGTGCTGTGTCAGTCTCGCCATCGAGCTGTCCACCCTCTCCAGCCCCACTGTGCTTTCCCTGGTCCCAGGCCAGAGCAGACAGCCCCGTAAGGTGTCTGCCCTCACCCCACTCCTCGCCTGTGATACCCTTCTCTGTGCACTTTGGGCCTCAGCCGTGCCTGTGCCCCATACTCTGAATGAACACAGGAAACGCAAAGGCCTGTGCCTGAGGGAGTCTCCAGCTGATCGTTGGGATTGTAGGATGTTCCTTACATCTCCAGAACTTTTTTTATCTGGCAAAATTGAAACTCTAAACCCATTAAACACTAATTCCCCATTTTCCCTCCCCCAGCCCCTGGCACCCACTATTCTACTTTCTGTCTCTATGAATCTGACTCTAAGGACCTCATATAAATCAAATAATATGTACTGGTCTTTTTGTAACTGTTCTCTTCCACTTAACATGGTGTCTTCAAGGTTCATAGCAGGATTTCCTTCCTTTTTAAGGCTGGGTAATATTCCAGAGTATGCGTAGACCGCATTGTATTTATCCACTCATCCATTGAAGGACACCTGGGTGGCTTCCACATTTTGGCTATTGTGAATAGTGCTGCTGTGAACATGGGTGTGCACATGTCTGTTAGTGTCCCTGCTGTCAGTTCCTCAGGGTATATACCCGGAAGTAGAATTGTAAGATCATATGGTAATTCATTGGCCAGATTCTTAACCCAGCATCTGTGGGTTCATTTCCCAGTGGGAAACTATTTAAGGATAGGCATCAGGAGGCCTGTGAGCCCCTGAGACGAGGAGGTTTATGAGCATTTTCCTGCAGTGCGGGGAGTTCATTGTTTTTACGAGTTTCAGAGAGGTCCTCAATCCAAAACTGTTAAGAACTTTAAGAATCTTGGGTGTAGAGGCAGTAATGTGAGGCACCCGGGCGTGAGGCAGAATCCTGGGTCCCTCCGTGTGTCAGCAACGCAGCAGGCAGTGGTGGCTTAGTGAGCCCAACCAGCCACTCACCCCTCTTCTGAGTCACTTCCCCATAACCACGTCTAGAATGTCTGGCTGCGGTGTGCGAAGCTGGCTGACATGGTCTGGGGCTCAGTCACTCTGGTGATCACCTGCAAGGCCAGTAGTCATGTTGTGCAAGGGAGTGTCTGGAGCATTCGTTCGCTAAGTGGTGCGGTGTCGACTCAGCGGCTGCCACGGCCTCACAATGATGCGGGAGCATCTGGGCCAAAGAATAGCCTGCAGTTCAAATGCCCAGGGAGCCAGCTAAGGGCCTCTGTTTTTTAAATTTAATTGTTGAAATGTCTTATCTTTATTCATCTATCCTGCAGTCTTCTCTGAATTCCCTAGGCATAACTTGGTCATATAATTTAACATTTAACCTAGAGCACTAGGAAAAGTGGAAGAGAGGTCTAGCCAGTTAGCTCAGTTAGTTAGAGCATGGTGCTGATAACACCAGGGTTCAGGTTTCCGTCCCTGTACTGGCCAACTGCCAAAAAAAATGAAAGACACACTATTAATAACCCGCATAAACTAGAAATTTCCTTGACAAACTGATACATATGGTTTTACTCTAATTATAACTTATTTTTTTAGAAAACATAATTTAGATGTTGAAAGATCATATATAAGACAAATTCTAAAGCCAAGAGTAATGATTTGGAATATATATATATACACACACACACACACGCACGCACACACACACACACACACACGCACACACACACGTGTGCATTTCAGATTGCTTGTATATAAACTTAATATCATTTGACGATGGACTTTAGGTTGCAAATCATTTTCCCTTAAGACCGTGAAGGCTTTGTTCCAGTCTTTTTAGCTTTCACGGTTGCTATTGGGAAGCCCCAGGCCATTCTGACCCATGAACCTTGCTATGTGACCACAGGGTGTCTTTTTCCCCTTACTTTTCACACTTTTAGGGTCTTTTCATTATCTGTTGTGTTCTGAAATTATACGATATTATGCTCTGATCTGGGTCTTTTTTTTTTTTTTTTATCCACTCTGCTGGATACATTTATCTTTGTGTTCTTGGAACTTTTCTTGAATTATTACTTTCATAATTCATCTGATTTCACAAATTTTTGTTCTTTCTTTTTGATATCTGGAATTTCTATTATTGTTAAAATGTCCATACTACCCAAAGCAATCTATAGATGCAATATAGTCCCCATCAAAATCTCAGTGGCATTTCGAAAAAGAAGTTCTACAATTCATATGGGATTACAAAAGACCACAAATAGCCCGAGTCAATCTTGAGAAAGGACAAAGCTGAAGGCATCTGAGATCACACTTTCTCATTTTAAACTGTATTCCAAATCTACAGTAAACTCAGACAGTGAGACAGGCATTTAGACCTACAGAGCAGAATAGAGAGCCCAGAAGTAGATTCACACATGATATGGTCAACCGATCTTTGACAAGGGTGCCAGGAATACACACGCGGAAAGAATAGTTTCTTCTACAGACGGTGGCAGGGAAATATGCAGAAGAATGAAATTGGACGCTTGTTTTACACCATACACAAAAATCAACTCAAAATGGATTAAAGACTTAAACATAAGACCTGACACTGTGAAACTACTAGGAGAAAACATAGGGAAAAAACTTCGTGATGTTGGTCTTGGCGAGGATTTCATAGGTAACACCAAACACACAGGAAACAAAAGCAAATAAACAAGTGTGATTGCATCACTGCGAGAGTTTAGTAAGGTTTTGTGTGTTTGTTTGGTTTTTTGTTTTGGGGGGTTTTTTTTGGCTAACGGCCCTTTTAGTTTGTTAGTATATTTTAAATCATGTGAGTTAAATATATTTCTTTTATTTTTAATTGCAGAAATAGAAGAATATTCCATGGAAGTGTTATGTAAGGTAAGAAGGATCTTTGACAACATCTTTTCTATCCTGGTGTTTTCATTGATATAAGCTAGAAGCTCGGGTACCCATCTGAATCCTAGGAAAGCAGCATTTCATAGCTTTCAGGTATAAATTCTTACTGAAAGTTGAGGTGATGTTACTAAATGATAGCCAGCATATATGAAGCATTGATTGTGTGTTCTAAGCGTTTGATGGAGAAGAAACTGAGTCACAGGGAGGTTAAAGGCACTGCCCAAGGTCACAGCTAATAGAGCCAGATTGCACCCTGCAATACTCCACTATACCGTCTCTCCACCCTGAGAATTGTAAACATCACCTTATTTTGGTAAAGAAGTTGTCGGGCAGATCCGGGGAGTTAGTGTGTGGGCTGATGACTCTATGTAGCTCCTGTTTTGAGACGAGCATAAGCACCTTCAGGAAGAGGGACCCTAACTCAGAGCCTCCAGGGCCAAGGTGAGGGGAGACTGTGGCCCAAATCCCCATTCAGCTCTAGAGTGACAGCAAAGGCCAAGGGGGACCCAGGGGAGGAAACAGCCTCCTGGTTGCCAGGAAACCAGCAGCACCACTGACAACACTCCCATGACAGAAAGCCTCTGCCTCCAAGTCTCAGCCCACGTGGCACTCCCTCTGCCAGCTCTCCTGCACTGGACAGTCGGTTCTTAGGTCCTCACTGAGAACTTCGTGTGTGCTGCCCACTTTACCAGCACGTTATGGGATTACTGAAAACCCCTCAACTGAATTCCTCATTAGTGGATGTCTTAGTCAGCTCAGGCTGCTGTATCAAAATACCACAGACTGCTTGGCTTAAACAACAGAAATGGATTTTCTCACAGGTCTGAAGGGTGAAGTCCAAGATCAGGGTTGGGGTCTGGTGAAGGCTCTGTTCCCAGCTTGCAGATGGCCACCTTCTCACTGTGTCTGCATGTGGTGGAAGGGGCAAGGCAGCTTTCTGAGGCCTCTTTTATAAGGGCACTAATCACATTCATGAGGGCTCAATTCACATGACCTAATTACCTCCAATGGCCCCATCTGTTAATACCATCACATTGGGGGCTAGAATTTCAACATGAATTGTCCTTAGCTGTTTATGACAATATAGTCTTTTTCTATTATGCAATTCAAAACTCTTCCATCTTTTACCCATTACTCAGCTCCAAAGCTGCTTTCACATTTTTAGACATTTGTACAGTAGCACCTCCACTTGGGGAGGAAGCCAAGTTGCAGCGACCTGAGAAGGTTGTCAGGGAGGCAGCTGGTGCAGAGCAACGTAAGGAGGTTGGCAGGACGAGGGAGGCAGGAGACGGCGGGAGCTGAGTTGAGGCTGGGAGGCTCTGCGGGGCCCTTGTGTGCTCAGATGGGGGCAGCAGGGTGCGGGCGAAGGGACAGCCCGATTTTAGGTTGGGAGACCTTGTCTGAGTGCAGCCCCAGCCCTTACCATCTGTGCAGTCTTGAGCAGGTCGTCTACGTGCTGTGAGCCTGTCTTCCCACCTGTAAAATGGGCATGGAAGGTTATTGGAAGGACACCAGATAACGGATGTCAGCACCTAGCGCAGTTCTTGGGTCATATTACATGCTCAGTCGAGGAGAGCTGTGGTTGTCAGTAGCAGCAGAAAGAAACCAAAGATGCTTTTGAACTTTTAGTGGTTCAGAAGGGCAGGGAGCTCCCAAAAGAGGTGGGGTAGAATCATAACCACTCAACGGATGATGAACTTGCAACGTGGGGAGGTACGTTGTGCTTCTTTTCGAAGAAAGGAGAAAGGAGAGAAAAGAGGTGAAACGAGATTTGATTTGAGGGAGGGAGAGATGGATGAGGCATTCATTACACGGCCACAGTCTTCTGAGAAGATGAAGAAGGCTGGTCTTTTGTGTAGAGGGCTCAGGGCCAGGGGTGTGTGGGAGGAGAGACTTGACAGGGTGGATGGTGGGGTAGCTCCCGCGGGTCGGTAGAGGAAGCCCTCGATCGTCACCTGACAGTGGGCTTGGGGTGCTCAGACCTCTGTTCCAGAAGGTTCCCTTCTTCCTCCTTCTCCAGGGCCTCTCTCAAACAGTGTTCATTGGCCACGACTGGGGGGGCGCACTGGTGTGGAACATGGCTCTCTTCTATCCCGAGAGAGTGAGGTAATTACCACGAACAGCAAGGATTTGGGTAAGACTGGACTTGAATTCCCACAAGAATTGTCCCTCAGATCGGTCTCTCCAGAAAACTTCTTGAAAACAAGTAGGCCACACCTGAGCTCTCTGGTGCCCGTGTCTCAGGAAGCAGCACCTGTCCCAGTTACTGGCAATAGGACGAATGACGCGGGGCCTGAGTGTCCAGTGGGAAAGCAGGAGAACATCGTCCTGCTTTGAGGGGAGACGGGAGGCGGCAGGGGTGTTGGGTTCAAGCCTGGAGACTCCAGCCCTGGACCGGGAGGGAGAAAACGTGGCCTTCAGTTCTGCCCTGAACTGACTGTGTGACAAGTCACTTAAATGCTTGGGCCTGGGTTTCCTCAACCACAAGGTGTAAGTGGGAACTCCTACCCAACTGCACCACCCGCAGAGTGCTGTACAGATGGAAGGTCTGCGTGGCAGGTCATGGTCACCATCGTTATTAGATGGCATTTACTAATAACATTATTAGAATGGCTTTATTAGAATGGCATTTCAGCGCTGCAGCGAGAGCTTTCAGACGACTGGCTTTGAACCCAGAGTCGGTGGTGTTCGTGGCCACACCCGGTCTGAGCTGGCAAGCCGCGGCTGAGCCTGTCCGACCGCCCCTTGCAGCCTTGGGTTTTGGCAAGTTAAATACATCTCATCCTAAGCAGCCAACTGTATTTCCCTGACTAATCCACTTACTTTTTATTTGGCTAAGTTTATAAAGACCAGAAGCACAGAGAATTTTGGTCAGCCTCAACCCCAGCTTACAGACTAAAAAGAAGGCCTCAACCCCAGCTTGCAGACTAAAAAGAATCAAACATTTCCTAAAATATTTTTAACATTTTCCCACTTTAAAATTGTAGCCTCAACCCCAGCTTACAGACTAAAAAGAATCAAACATTTCCTAAAATATTTTTAACATTTTCCCACTTTAAAATTGTTTTTCTGTGGACTGGCCCGTTAGCTCACTCGTTTAGAGCATGGTGCTGACAGCACCAAGGTCAAGGGTTCGGGTCCCTGTATTGGCCAGCCGCCAAAAAAAACCAAAAGACAAACATGAAGTTGTTACTCTGCTCTCTCTAGCTTCTTCCTCTCTCTGTCCTTTCCTCTCACTCAAAGTGGAAATGCAAAGAGTTCAGTTCTTAGGTTCACCAAAAAGTTACTCGACAGACTGTACCTCACACTTCTTGATGTGAATAGAAGGAAACATAGCAACAGGCGTACAACGCAGCCTTAAAGGAGGCAAAACGCTTTCTGGTTTTACTACTCATAATGTCTTTCTCCAGTGAGAATTTTTAAATATTCAACATGGACAAACAGGCTTTGCCCAGATTACAGCAGATACGGGACACCTCCCGTGCCCTGGTTTCCAGCACGTCCGCCATCAGATCTGGTCGTGGTGGCTGCTCCATCACTGTCACTGGGCAGCCTTGTCGCCGCTGTCCTGAGAGGACTGCAGGCTGCCTGTGGCAGAGCCTGGCCTTTCTGGGCCTGGGTGTATCTGGTATTTAAGAACGCTGTTGACAACACTGATCTTTACCTTTCTAGCTGGATAATGAAGGAAAAACAAACTGCCCCCAAAAAGCCCACCTCTATGTGGAATATTTCTTTCAATTCTTGGTTTGGCTTTTCTACTAAGATAAACCATGGGTTTATCACAACCTACTTAATTGAAGGGGCTATTCACCTGTTTGGTCCAGAATATTCTTTTGCATCCTTTCCAATCACCTGGTGATTCTACGCCCAAAAGGAGGCTATGGTTTTGTTTAGTTTTTTCTAATCTGAACGGAGCATTAAGATTGGCGGTAGCATTTATGTGCTATCTCATTTTGTGAAGACAATTTTTTATGTATGGAATAAGCTATATGCCAAAAATATTTAGTAAAAGGATGGAATTTCTTGACTTGTGATTTAAGTAATGCTTCAAATAGATTCACCATTGAAACCTATAGCCATCAATGTAACTTATTTTATACCCAAATCTGCACTGTCCAGTGTGGCAGCCATGGGCCACATGTGGCTATTGAACACTTAAAATGTGTCCAGTTCAAATTGAGATTACTGTAAATGGAAAACAACTGCTGGATTTGAAGACTGCAAAAAAATAAATGAATAAATAAAATATCTCATTAATGATTTTTTTGTATTGATTACACATTGAAATTTTATATATTTTAGATAATTGGGTTAAATGTTAAAAATTAATCTCACCTATTTCTTTTTACTTGTTTTATCTTTTGTTCTTTTTTTTTTTTTTCCTTTTATCTGTTTTAGTGTAACCAGTAGAAAGCTTAACATTATATTAGTGGCTCACATCGTGTTTATATTGGTCAGCTCTGGCCTGAACCTCACGCTCCTTTTCCTCGTTATTTCATTTGCCCTAATTATCCCGCTCCTCCCAGTCTCTATTTCCCCCAAACGTTCTCTCCGCTCTATTTCTTTTCTGCCTCTCTGGCTTCATTTCCCAACAAGCCGCATCCAGTGCTTGGCCTCCAACCTTATAGACTCCATGTCCCACCAAACACACCTGCAAGCTTTGCCCCTTCTAGAATTTGCTCAGGCCACCTCGTGACGTTCCCTCACGGGTATCCTCTCCCTCCCTTAGACGCCAAGTTCAAATGCTTTCTTGTCCACAGGGTCTTTCGTGGTCCCCAAATCCAGAAATTCTTTATCTCCTTAGAGCTCCCAAGGTATTGGGTGCTATTCTTATGGCTGATATCACAGTCTGTTTCATAATGTAGACATGCGTGCATTTGTTTATCCTTTTTTAAATATTAAGAAGTTCCTTGAAGAAAGAAATTGTATTTTATTTATTTTATATTTTCTCTGCCCTAGTATATAGCCTGAAATTACACTCAACCTGGAGGAGACACAGTGAGTGAATTTAGGAAGGAAAACAAATAACGTGTTTT